ATGAGCGAGATGCCGATGACGCCCGATCCGCTCGACGCAGGCCCGCGTGAGGCGCCGACCTCGTCGGCATCCCGCATGCGCGCGCCGGCCGTGTCGACCTTGGCGGCGACGGGCACGAGGGCGCCGAGGCTCCAGAAGACGAAGAGCCAGGCGGCAAAGACGAGGCCCTGGATGGTCCAGGCGGCCCTCGGCAGGCGGCCCTTTGTGGTGCGCTGGAAGCGCCAGCCGAGGCCGGCGACGACGCTCTGGATCTCGAGAAAGGGTATGACGCCGACGAGCAGCACGAGCAGCGTGGGCACGACAAAGGCGAGGCCGACGGCGCGGGCGCGCGGCGGCATAAGGTCGGCGACCTCGGCGAGGATGAGCTCGACGAGGACGGCGGCGAGGGCAATGGTCGAGCAAAAGGCGGCGGCAGCTACGCGGCGGCGCAGGCTCTTGCGGCCGTGCTCGGCGTGGGCCTGGCGCAGCGAGGGCGGGGCGTGGGCGGGGAGGACATTGTCGGCGCCGTCGCGGACCTCGTGGCCGCGGGTCAGGCGCGGGAAGAGGTGTCGGTGGGCGGCGAGGGCGACGAGGACAAAGGTCGCGACGAGGGGCGACAGCGACACGGAGAGGCGCAGGGTTGAGGGGGCGCGAGGATCTACGGGGGCGCACGCCGTGTCGTCGCACGAGGAGCCGAACCAGAGCATTTGCGTCGTCGGCTTGGGGGGTGGACTGGTCGGGAAGGCATGTGGTGTGTTGTCGTGGGGGGGGAGTGCTGCTGTCTCAGGTACAGATCGTGGGCGTCGAGGAGTCGGATTGCTGGGACCGATTGTTATCGTCCGACCGTCATTGTTGTGAAGAGAGATGAGGGTCGAGGAAAGGTGGACAGGATGCGGATGCAGGGTGTAGATGCAGCGTGTACAGGGATGAAGTTGGCGTGTCGTCCATTGTCCATCGTCAGTCGCCAGTCGTCAGGCCCAAGTTCAGCCGCGTGTCCGAGCCGCATGCGTGTTGCTCCTTGCTTAGTAAGAGAGTCCAGCACCTCTGCTGCGACCATCATCTTGAGGACATGGACAAGTAGCATGGAGCAGATGATGCAGGGCCAGTGATGCAGTGACAGTGATGCAGGGTTTTGCCAACAGTCCTACTACAGCATATAGACCAGCATGGCAAAAGACATGGCAAAGACGCCAAGCTGTCTGCCACGCCCGTCTGAGACGAAACACCACCAGCCAGAGACAGGATCCATACGTGACTTTCATGTTCCCTATGTAAAGTGTATCGCTTTCCCAAACACCCAAAAGAGCCATCTGAAGACAGACGGCAACGTACAAAGACAGACGAAACACAGAGGAACACCGTCTTGTCCATAAAAATATAAATAAAGAGAGACTAAAAAACAGCAATCCGCCTGCATCCGAAACGCTTGACCGCCAACATACAAAGCTGACCTCCCCTCATCCCCGCCTGCGCGGGCCTCAAGGCCACATGCAGCCGGCCGCGCCTTAGCTGACACTGCTCTTCCGCGAGTGTCGCCCCTCGTCGTCGTCATCCGCATTCCCCGACTCGGCGCTCAGTCGGCGGTTCTGCTTCAGCAGCGCCGCCGCCTCGCCGACCTCCATGTCGTGCAGCTTCTCCTGCTGGTCGAGATCGAGCGCCTGCTCGCCCGGCATGACCTCAAACTCGTCGTCGTCACTGTCGCTGTCGCTGTCGCTGTGGCCGCCTGTCGTGCTCGGCGGCGCCGGCGCCTTGGGCACGCCGCTCACACCGCCCACGCCGTCCGCCGCCTCGGTCGGCGGTGTGTGCGTCTGCGACCCCCAGCGGCGAGGGCTCCGCGTATCGGTTGCGCAGCAGCGCGCTCGGGTTCAGCGGCTTGACCGTGGGATCAAACGACGCCGGCAGCCCGAGCACCTTGGCCACCTGGTGCGCCTCCTCGTCCGCCGAGTACTTGACCTCGACCTCATACAGGCTGCTCTTCTCGCTGTCCGCCTCGTGCTTGCCGCCCGTCGCCGACAGCATGCGCACGTAGGTGCGCCGCTCCGTGTCGTTGAGGCGCTTGCTCTTCTTCTTCTCGCGCTTCTCTGTCGGCCGCACCACGACGACGGGGATCGGCGAGTACTGGAGGCAGTACTTGGAGAAGGAGTTTCGCGTGTTGACGAGGCCCTGCAGACCGCCAAGGGAGCGGCCGC